CTCTAGGTGCGCAGGCTTCAGTAGTTGTGGCATGTGGGCTCAGTATTTGTGGTGTATGGGCTTAGCTGCTCCACATCATGTGGGATCTTCCTGGACCAGGGATTGAATCCATGTCCCCTGCATTGGTAGGTGGATTCTTAACCACTGTGCCACCAGGGAAATCCATTTGCTGACTTTTTAATGATGGACATTCTGATTGGTGTGAGGTGGTACCTCATTGTAGTTTTGATTTGCATTTCTCTAATAATTAGCAATGATGAGCATCTTTTCATGTGCCTCTTGGCCATCTGTATGTCTTCTTTGGAGAAAAGTCTATTTAGGATTTCTGCCCATTTTTCGATTGGGTTGTTTGGTTTTTGTTATTGAATTGTATGTGCTGTTTGTATATTTTGGAAATTAAGCCCTTGTTGGTTGCATTATTCACAAATATTGTCTTCCAGTCCATAGTTTGGCTTTTCATTTTGTTTATGGTTTCCTTTGCTGTGCAAAAGCTTATAAGTTTGATTAGGTCCCATTTGCTTTGCTTTTATTTCTGTTGCCTTGGGAGACTGATCGAAGAAAACATTGATACAATTTATGTCATCGAATATTTTGCCTATGTTCTCTTCTAGGAGTTTTACAGTGTCATGTCTTATATTTAAGTGTTTAATCCATTTCGAGTTTATTTTTGTGTATGGTGTGAGGGTGTGTTCTAACTTTATTGATTTACATGTGGCTGTCCAGCTTTCCCAGCACCATTTGCTGAAGAGACCATCTTTTCCCCATCATATATTCTTGCATCCTTTGTCAAAGATTAACTGACCCTAAGTTTGTGGATTTATTTCTGGGATCTCTATTCTGTTCCATTGATCCTTATGTCTCTTTTCGTGCTGATACCATGATGTTTTGATTACTTTAGCTTTGTAGTATTGTCTGAAGCCTAGGAGGGTTATGCCTCCTGCTTTGTTCTTTTTCCTCAGTATTAGTTTGGCAATTCTGAGTTTTTTATGTTGGAACCAGAATGTTGAGCTCCACCAAGACTCTCTGGGTCTCGGGTCTCTGCTCTCCGTGGCATGTTGGCCTCATGCTGTCCTACCACCGTCTTTCTCTGTAGTGAGGGATCATGGCTTCCAGCAGCTTTCAGTGACAAAGACTCTCAATCCCACCACCTAAAAGGAAAAGGGCTCTTCTCTGAGGAAGGACTCTGAATGGTCAGAAACCCAATGCAAACCAACCTCTGTGACCAGGGTAGGGAGAATTATTACTGGTCATGACTGGTCTAATTTGGACCAGGTGCTCACCCTTCAACCTATCACCAGGGTCAGGGATACAGGATCTTGTAAGAAGGCGGCAGCTCCATTCAGCCAGAAGTCTGGAGTAGAGTGGAGAAGGAGAGTGGGAAGCAGAAACAGTGCTTTTTTGGAGCAAAAGAAGGAAGAGCTGCTGGGCAAAACAGGTGATTAGTGTATGCTACATGAGCATAATTTTCTTCTAAATATTTTTAAGTTATTTTCATCATGTGTATATATACATATAAACATTCAAGTGCCAAGAATGTATTTATAAGGATATTCTCTGAAACAGTTTTATAATCATTAAAAACTGTAAGCAGCCTATAGTTAACATCTACTGATATTTTTTCTTCTTGAATTTTTCCCTTTTTTCCCTCTGAGAACATTGAACCCAAGTGCTCATCTCAGCTGAACCAATCACATATCACCCTACTTCCTGTGACTACAGCAATTGGCCTGAAAGGTGGGTGTGTGATCCAGTGTGAACCAGTCTGTCTTGGCCCAGAAAAGGGTCATTTTCTTTTCAGGTAGTGAGGCAGTGGGGCTGTGACTCAGGCAGACTTTTTCACCTGGAGCTGTTACAAAAGTGTCATCTCCTGTCAGGTCAGGAAGCTGCTAGGATACGATCTGGGGCCGCCAATTCTGCCTCCCACACAGGGGGTAAAGCTAGTCTATGAAGGAAGCTGTTTATGCTGAAATAAACAGAGATGAGACACGAAGAGACGGGGAGTCCTGATGGGTTAGAGGCCCTGGTCCCAGGCACCCTCTGAGGCTAACGCCCCCCACCCCGCGTCCCCCCACTCTTCAGCAAATATGACTAAATGGGCCAATTTCCTCCTTACCTAAGGCTAGTTTGAATTGGGATTCTTCCAGTTTCAACCATGAGCCTCCTAATATCTGACTACAGATCAATAGAGCTGGGTAACTTATGGCACAATAAAATACTTTTAAGTGTAGCTTTTAAAAAGAGAAGACTACATATATTGACGTAAAAAACAAATATAAGGAGAGAAACAAGTTTATAGGGCAGGGGTGTGTTTCTGTGTGTGTGTGATTTTATATACACCACATACTTACGGAGACTGTGTTCCAAAAGGTTAATATTGGTTACCTCTGGAGGCTAGTATGGGAAAGACTTTCACTTTTTAAATATATTTCTGTGGGTTTTTAAAAATAAATTTATTTATTTATTTTTGGGTGTGTTGGGTCTTCGTTGCTGCACGTGGGCTTTCTCTGGTTGAGGCGAGTGGGGGCTACTCTTCATTGCAGTGTGCGGGCTTCTCATTGCGGTGGCTTTTCTTGTTGCGGAGCACGGGCTCTAGACTCACAGGTTTCAATAGCTGTGGCATGCTGGCTTAGCTGCTCCACAGCATGTGGGATCTTCCCAGACCAGGGCTCGAACCCATGTCCCCTGCATTGGCAGGTGGAGTCTTAACCACTCTACCACCAGGGAAACCCTCTGTGTACTTTTTTAACTTTCTGAAAATCAGACATCACTTTTATAAAACTTTTAAGCCAAAAATAACTACAGGACATAATGTAATTGTGGCACATTTATGTTATACAACTTCCCACTTCATTGCCTCTATTTCATTTAAGAACAGAGGTCTGGGAATTTGGAGACCAGGCTTCTAGTCCAGACTGTTTTGCATGTATTCTATAACCTTGGACAAGTTGGTTTGCCTCTGCAGGCCTCAGTTTCTTCCTCCCTAAGAGGGGTACTTAAGTAACAGTAGCTACTATTTCAGTGGTTTCCATGTGCCAAGTGCTGTGCTGAGCAGTTTCCTCACAGCAGCTCCATGGGTTGAGCATTATCCCCCTTTTCCAGATAAGAAAAGCTCAAGTAAGTGTTGGAATCAGAATTCAAATTCACGTTTAGCCCATCCCCCAAAGCCATGTTCTTTTCACTACACACTCTCCCAGCCACCTCTTGCCTCACGGTCTCACAGTTTCCTGGCCCTGGAATGCACTTAAACCCAGGACTTGACTCAAAATCCTCTATCTGGAAAACACTATCTTTCTAAATTAATCTTTGGTCACTTTTGTTATTACTATGTCTGTTCTTTATGTTGCATCAAACTCTAAGATAGGATGTCTCAACCTCAGCACTACTGACATTTTGGACTGAAAATTCCCTGGTTGTTGGGAGCTGGATGTCTTTGGCAGCATCCCTGGCTTCTACCCGCTATGTCAGGAGCACCCACCCTTCAAGTTGTGACACCAAAAATGCTTCCAGACATAGTCGCAAATGTCCCCTGGGGGATAATCACCCAGGGTTGAGAATCAGTGTCCTAAAAAAAGGGAAAAGGCAAATTCCTGCATTAACCCTGAAGGAACACTGTTTTGAAAGGAGTTATGGAATCTTATAAGTATTTTTACCTGCATGATTCTTAGACTCTACCAGCTCAGACTAAAGTCTCATCTCACATTATTTGCTCTGTGCAGAACACTGTACCAGTTACACATACATTACCTATCCAAGATTTAGGGAAATGGGGAAGGAGAATAAACTTTGCCCTCTAAAAAAATGACTCCACTTCTCCCTTAGTGAAATTCACTTTTGCCTCAGAGGGAAAGAGCCACATGAGGCTGCTGAGTGAGAATAGATATTCAACAGGGAATAGTGGTAATTGAATATGATGCTGATTTTATTCCAGCTAAATAAAGCAGCACATAAGTCATCTTGACAATAAGCTTAACTCAAGGGGCAAAAGCCAAGAAACAAGTATTTTTGTTTGTTTGTTTTAATTATTAGTCACAGTCCATGGCTCTCTTCCATACCTTATCTCAGAAAATGTGGGTTAACGTATTTCACGCAAAGTAACATAGGAAAAGAGAAAAAGGGAAGATGAAATGCATTTAGTGTGCAGTTAAAGGTGGTTTCTCCAGTTTCTCTTCTGTGAACTGTTCCATTAGCATGGTCCACTTTGGATTATTTTAATATCATGACCATCTTCCCTGCAAAATGAACAACCATAAAAACACATTTATTACCTACCATATTGAAACTGTCCCCCTCTTTGTATTAAAAAGAGCCATGTCATTATACATTAGATTCTTTCCAGGGTGACACTTAGTCATTTTTAAAGCTAAATCTAGGAAATTATGAGGGCGAAAGCCCAACTCTGCCATTTTTTTCCTAACCCAATGGCACAAGGAACTATCCCCAAAGAATCACTCTGAGAAGACCTAGTAATTTCCTGAAGACTGAGTTCAGAGACTGGACCCCTGAAATATAAAGCAGCATACCTGGAGGGGGAGTCATGATCACCTGAGCTGGTCAGGTATGTTACATGAAGGGCATCAGGTATAATATCAATACACTTATTACTGAGCATTCTAACAGGTAGAGTTATTAAGATCTGTTTTCTGACCAGTAGTGCAGGCTGTGTAGGTCGCCTGTACATGCCCTCTGAATTTAATAGAACATTTACTACTCCACAGAGTTTGACTACTAAATATATTCTTAATTTTGGGAAACTACCCATCCCTGGATAGTAACATCACTTCATTATTTGGTCTATAATTGATTAATCACTCACCTCATTCTCTAACCTTGACCTAGAAAATGTACTGAAGGAGTCTGTGTCTTTTTAAATGTCAGTCTTAAAATAGAACTACTTATGTCTCATTTGATTCTTATGTCCAAGAGTCACAACTTCCTAAGTAATAAAAATGCAAGATAAGAACAAAAGAAAACTTGGCTAGTTTATACTGTAAAATTATTACCTGATTTTCATGCACAGAGTACACTCATTGGGATATGTGGACATGTCGCTTCCACACACGGGGTTAAAGTCCCTGGGACATCCTGGTAATTTATACTGATCGCAGTTTGGCTAGAAAAGGGAAAGGAAGACAGAAATTGGAGAATAACTTGAGACGTTCACATCACAAAATAGCTGAGGGGAGGACAAAGTCCCAAGTTTCCCTAGATTTCCTAGAAACAGCCTACAGAAAGATTTCTATTTTCCACACACAAAAAAAGTTTTTCTAATGCAAAAATCAGATGCAGTGTTGAAGCAATGGATCAATACCTGCTATGTAAGAAAAGGACCTCGGAGGAAGGTTCTGTCTGGCTGATTTTTAAATGAAAGTCCAAGACATGTCACCAAACCTTCTTTACTATCCTCCAGCTTCATAATTTGCTCTTCACTACCACCTCCATGAGAATGTCCTGTTATATTCCACCTAATCCCTGGGCATAATGCCCAGACACACTTGGGAATCCTGTCTGGACTTTTAAGATACTGGCATTTAAGCAACAGCGTTAAAGAAAGCAGTAGGTTCAGAATTAGATCTCAGAAAGATAGGTTAAAGTCCTAACCCCCAGTACCTCAAAATGTGACCATATATGGAAATAGGGTCTTTATATAGGTAATCAACTTAAGGTTAGTAGAATTGGCCTTAATCCAATATGACTGGTGTCCCTATAAAAATTTGGACACAGAGTCACACACAGAGGGAAGATTGTGTGAAGATATGGAGAGAATGTCATTTACAAGCCAAGGAATGCCTGAGGCTACCAGATACTAGGCGAGAGGAAGAGAACTTCCTCTCTCGGAAGGAAGCAACCCTGCCAACACCTTGAGTTTGGACTAGTAGCCTTGAGAACTGTGAGACAATCCATTTCTGTTGTGTAAGATACTCGGTTTGTGGCTTTATTATGGGAGCCCTAAGAAACCGATATGGGGTCATGGAACTCAACCCTCAGATTTCATGGAATTGAGGCCAGATAGGTAACATGTCTTGTGCACAGCCACTAGTCTCTAGCAGGGCCAGGACTAGAAATGGTCACAATGGTCAACACCATGGTGTGCAGAGTCCCACTTTAATAACAGGTTCAATATATGGCCTGCTGTATTTCTGTTTTGTGTGTGCGTGTATGTTTTAGTAAATAGTGATTACCTTTCCTCACTTCAGAGTAAGTCACACTGTTTAGCACTCTTAATAAATGAATTACACATTTCTACTGACATTATCTGGATTTATAAAGTGCTAAGCAGGGCTGGCCTTGGGCCAAACTCTGAAGTAAAGAAATTTTTTGACCCTTTCCATCCTCCGTTCAGCCCTCTATCTCCATTTTGGAGCCTGATGTGTTTCTTGCAGCTCCAGGCTCACTAAGATGATGCCTTCCAGGGCTTCCACAGGAGAGTAGATGCCCTCTTATCCAATGAGATTGGGACAAGTGGTTCTTGGTCATTTAACTGAAAAAGTCAATTAAAGCACATAAACAGTAACAAAAAATATAACATACCCTAAATATTTTATCTTAAAACATATAAATGAAAATAAAATTGCCACTCTTTTGATGTAAGGCAGACAGGGCACATGGCCAGCTATAATGCTACCTACACTAAGATAACCTCCCTTGCAGCTAGGTATGACCACATGATCAAGATCAGGCTGATGGGATACCAGTGGAATTATTGTGTAGTAGCTTCTGGGAACCTCCTTTAAAAGAAAGTTGGTACCTGTCCTCTGCTTCCCCCAATTTTTATTCTCCTTTGTCCATTCCTCCATCCTGCTCCTGGGTGCATGGAGCACTACTTTTTATCTTACAGACCAGGAAGACAAAAGCCACATCCTAAGATGGCAGCTCTGTGAGCTGTTATTTTGAGTCGTTGTTTCTTGAAGCTGAATCTAATCCTACCTGACACAAGACATAAGACTTTTCCTATGAATGTTTCAACTAGAGTTTTGTGTACTAACACTGCAAAAATCATACCCACAATAAATCACCTATGATTTCTTGTTTTGATTTCTTTAAAATGGAATTTCTCAACCCCATTCATATTTTGGACCAGATAATTCTTTGCTGTGTGAGGCTGTGCACTGTGGGATATTTAGTACCATCTCTGTTCTCTATCCACTAGATGCCAGTGACAACTCCCTGGTCATGACAATCAAAATGTCTGCTGGGGGGTAAAACTGCCCCTTTTTAAATATGGTGAGACTTTATAGACACTGGCACAGCAAGGTAATATACAATTTAAAAAAATAATTCCCCAATTATTTTCAGTTGTTTTGCCTACACCTAATTCAATTTGTTTTTAGCATTTTGTCTTTCAGCAAGTCTTTCAAAAGCATTTGACTCATTTCTCATAAACGGCTTTATTTCTCTACGCTCATGTTTATGCTGTCTTTACATTTTTAATTAAAATAGGACTGGCAACTGGCATAATAGGCTTGTGAACACACACACCTGAGTCTTGGTCAGCACATAACACCACTGTTGGAAAATAAGCTTTACTGGAATACAGGAGGGTAGTTAAGCAAGAAGGTAACCTGTCTATAACCAGTGTGTAATCGATCTTCTGTGGGAATCATTCAGAGAGAAAGGAGAGGGTCGTATGTGAGTCTGTTTAAATGCAGGTTGCCTGATTGAGTTTTTACTGTTATTATCCCCCATTTTCTGAAGGAAAATGAAACCCAAGAAAACTGAGTCATCTGAGCAAAAGTAATATTGGGCACCCATTAAGTGCTGAAGGCTGGGTATCAAATAACAAATAAGACATCATCCATGACCACAGGAGTATACCGCCTACTAGGGGAAGACAGGCTATTACAATTCAGTGCTATGATGGGCTAGTGAAGAGCACCAATCTGGAGTCAGAATGCCTGGGTTGGACCCATAGTTGCACCATTTCCATGTGACCTTGCAAGGGGATAATAATGGTACCTACTTCATAGTGCTGTGAAAAGTTAAATGAGGGAATTCCCTGGTTGTCCAGTGGTTAGGACTCCACACTTTCAGTGCCAAGGGCCTGGGTTCAATCCCTGGTTGGGGAACTAAGATCCCACAAGCCTAGTTGCGTGGCCAAAAAAAAAAAAAATTAAATGACTTATTCTATATAAAGAATTTAGAACAGTGCTTGGCACATAGTAAATGGTATCTAAACATTTAGTGTTGAAGAAAATCAGAATGTCACCCCCAAAATATGGCTCTATGACATAAAAATTATTTTGAGCTAAAGGCAGTTAATATGCAGCTCTCTCTCTCTTCCCCTTTTCTGCCTAAAGGCAGGATATAAATTCTCCTTTAGTGGAGATGACTCTGGACTCTTATCAGCCCAGAAATGGCACCTGAGGAATCTGCAAACAAACCTTACTTCATTAGTTTCCTCCCACTATTTTTCTTCCCACTGTTTGCCACCCTTGGAAGCCTAAAACCATTTTCCTTTGTCCTGTCATTTATCTACAAACTTATTGCTCTCTGGTAAAGATGCTATATAAGGCAGATTTCTAAGCCACCTCTTTGAGTTACTCATCTCTTGAGTGCTCCCATGTGTATGCACAATGCACTTGTTAATAAACATTTGTTTATTTTTCTCTTGTTAACCTGTCCTCTGTTATAGGGTCCCCAGCTGAGAACTTAGAAGGGTAGAGGAAAGATATTTTTCCTCCCTACACTAGCATGGTGGTGATGATGATGCAGTATAGTTTGAATGGAAGCATGGAGAAAGTGCATTTATATCTGCTTTGGAGGAAAAAAAAACAGGGTGGGAAGATTTCCTGGAAAAGGTCTACACTGAATTGAATACTCAAAGTTACCTAACCCACGGAGGTCAATATCCCCATATGTAAAATAATAATATCTATCTGTCTTACAAGGTCATTGTGAGAATTGAGAGACTGCATATACAAATGGACAGTGTCAGACCACATATTAAAATAGAACTCTGACCCATAACCTGTAGCAACTTGCCTAGGAAACCAACCCATTACTTAGAATAACCAACCCAAGAAGCCAACCTGCTATAAATTAGACTCGTCAGAAGTCAGATGGTTATCTCTAGTGACAGTCCAATAAGCCAAAGAGTAAAGCTCTGTAACGATTGGCCAAAATGGCCAGGCCTTGATTAAGAACTGATAGTTTCCCTAAATTTTTGTTCCTGCTTCCAACTTAGGACCAATCAGAGAAAGCCAATATGCCCTCCTAACCAATCACATAGGATTCCTGCCTTTAGTTACCCACTTACAGCCTCCCCATGCCAACAGCCTTGATCAGGGCACACCTGATGCCTTCCCTTTTTCCCACTTTAAAGCTTTCCCACTCCTCTGCCTTTGAGTCTCTGCCAAAATGCAGGTGATATGCCTGATTCACTTGCTTCAACAAGCTCTGAATAACTAGCTTTTGCTTCTTCTCATTTGGTCGACCTTCGCTTGCTTACACAGAATTTAATTTGATAATATACATAAAATGTCTAGTACATACAAGGTGTAACTATTAGGGAAACAAAGCCCTGAGGCCTTCAAGGCCTGAGCTATTGTCAACCAAATTTTACATCGTGATCCGTATCAAAAAGCCTGCCTGAGAATCTGGTTTCTAAAGAAGCAGTCCACTGTTTCGAAAGTGGCAGGTCAGACCTGAAAACCAGCCCCCAACCCAAACTGTTGAGGGCTTCGCTGTATCAGTAGAAACAATACAAGTGGTTTCCTACTTACTGTTCTGTATTCTGAAGGGTGAGCAAACTGAGTGTTCAAAGAGGCTGCAAGAAGGAAACAGACACTTTAAAGCATGGGGTTAATAAAGGTCAATTCTTGTTCATAAGGGTTTTTTAAAATTCAGCTTGTGATTTATACGGGCCATGTGTCTCCCTTTCCCTCCGATGCCTAGCTTCTTTGAACCCCCCCTAAGAAGTATGTTCAGTTGTGTTCTGGCACCTCTCCTAGCAGGCACAAAGAGAACATTTGGTACCGGTTCCGTAACTGACCACGCTAATAGGATTGCTTGAGAAACTTTGGAGCTACCAAATAAAAGTTAGAGAAGAAACTCAATAATTCACGATGTTCTTTTCCTCTGTGGCTCGAGGTAATAAATGCAAAATTTGACATTAGGTGTTACCACTTTAACTCCATTTTTTTTTTTTTTTTTTGTGGTACGCGGGCCTCTCACTGTTGTGGCCTCTCCCATTGCGGAGCACAGGCTCCGGACGCGCAGGCTCAGCGGCCATGGCTCACGGGCCCAGCCGCCCCACGGCATGTGGGATCTTCCCGGACCAGGGCACGAACCCGTGTCCCCTGCATCGGTAGGTAGACTCTCAACCACTGCGCCACTAGGGAAGCCCTTAACTCCATTTTAAATGGGCATCAAGTCTGGCTGGACTAAGGCCCCTTTCTCATGAGCCCCAGAGTGCCCGGCGCCCTTGGCATTCACAATTCCTGATTCCTGTACATCTCCTGCTGAGGCTCTGTAGGGCCCCTGGTACATAAAAACCCAACTCCCGATCTTGGGCTCCAGGAAATCTGCTTTAAGGGAGAAAGAGCAGACAGCAGGGTCACTAAGAAGATGCTGGGAACGAAGCCCAAGCAAGAACTAAAGAGGGTTGCTGGCTTCACAACGCCAGCCCCGCACACCCCCAAGTTCGTGTCCCTAGACAACCGCGGGGCGGGCCTGGAACCGCCAGTAACGGCTGTGCGGAGGGACGCCAAGGCCGTCCGGACCCGGGCAGGGGCAGTCGCCAGCGAGACCCCCTCTCGGTAACTCCTCGGCCGGTCCTCCGCGGAGCAGGCCCACAGGTGAGCGTTACCTGCCGAGTCCCAGCAGACCAGGAGCAACAGCCCCAAGCGCAGGGCCTCGAGCGCCATCCTCCCTCCGCGGCCGGCGGTCGGGTCCCTGCGCTCCAGCGCCCGTGCGACACGGAGAGTGCCCTCGGGGCGGACACGCGACAGGGCGGGGTGAAGGAGAGGCGGGTAAGAGGAGGAAGAACGGAGCAGGTAGGAGGAGGGGGGAGGGGCAGGAAAGGACGCACGGGGGGAGGGGGAGGGGAAGGCAGAGGAGGGGTGGTGGCTAGCCCCCCATCTCCGCAGCCCGCTGAGGATGAGAGTAAGCAGTTAGGGGGCCACCTCTCCCTGCAGCAAACAAGAACCTTGTAAGAGCCCTGGATAAGCTTGTGGGCTCTCAGTCAACCTCAGTTTCTTAAGCATCTGTTCTGTACCAAGCAGTGTTTGGGGCTGAACTTAAAAGCGTCCCTGCTGTCTAGAAGCTTTCCAGTGTAGGTGTTGGGGGAGAGGTAACAGAGGGAACTCCAAAACAAGTGAATACAATAATTTCGAAAATTAAGTGCTAGAGAGTTGAGAGCGGGGAGAAGACTTTCCATTGGGAGGTCAGGAAAGGCCTTTCAGAGGTAGTTGAGCTGAAAGCTGAAGGATGAGAAGGAAGCCTGGTGAAGACCCTGGGGACAAGTATTCCAGGCTCAAGGAAAAGCGAGTGCGGAAAACTAGAGGCAGGAACAAACTCAGTGTGTTCAGCTGGAGCCCTAGGTGAGGGAGGGGGAACGGGGAGGGAGATGGAACCACAAGGTCATGAACATGTGTGGTCATGTAGGCCATGATAAGGGGTTTGGATTTGTTCCTGTTGCAGTGGGAAGCCAGTGGAGGCTTTTAAGCAGGGGCATGGCCCTGATACTTACGTCTTAAGAGATCGGATGAAGAATGGAGGAGATAGGTAAGAGTGGAGGCGGCGGTGGGGGGGGGGGGGGGGGGAAAAATGGGGGGGCTTTTACAGTAATCCAGGCAAGGGATGGTGGCAGCTTGAACTGGTGGCTAACAGGGGACTGGTGAGATGTGGTCAGATTCAGGATGTCTTTTGGAGGCAGAACCAATTGGAGTGAAGAGAAGAATCAAGGATGCTTCCTGGGATTTTGTCCTGAACAGATGGGTGTGTGGTGATGCCATTTCTGTGATGAAGAACGTTTGGAGAGGATGCCTATTAGACCTCCAAGTGGACATGTAGACAAGGCAGTTGGAATTACAAATTTGGAGCTAGAGATATAAATGCAGAAGTCATCAGCATATCAATGGTATGCTGACCCAAAGCCCAGGGGAAGAGTACCACGTGGGTCAGAGGTCAGAGCCCTGGGGCACTACTATGTGCAGAACTCTGACAGACATGGAGAACAGGGAACAAGCCAGTGAAGGAGGAAGAAAACCAAACTAGAGTCTGGGGTTGCTGAACTGTGGAGCAGCAGTGCAACCACGTCAGTCGCCGCTGCAAGGTTGGGAATTAGGAGGACTGAGCATCGTCATGAGCTTTGGCGAGATTGTAGTCACTGATGACCCTGATAAGATCTTTTTCAGAGAAGTGATGGGTTCCAGAGCCCAAATGGCCTGGTTGAAGGGATGAGGTGAGAAGGTGGTGACAGAGAGTGTAGACAGTCCTTGTGAGTTTTGCTATGAAAGGGGAGCCAGAGGTGGGCAGTGAGTAGCCTATGAAAGTTCCGAGTCTTCTGGGGCTCATGTCAAAAACCCTCAAGTATCTTCCCAGCTCCGTTGTCTTAGGAGGAAACCAAAGTTCTTACTGTGGCCGCCAAGGCCTCTGCTGGTCTCTTACTGCTCTCCCCTGACTCACTCTTCCCCAGCCCCACCGGGCTCCCTGTTCCCACCCTAGTGCCTTTGCACTTGCCTTTCCCTCTGCTTACATAACTATGGAGCTCCCTCCTTCCCTTCCTTCTGTTGCACCGCACATGTCCCCATATCAGAAGTGCCTTCCCTGACCATCCTATAAAACCATAGTGCCCCTCCTTTCTATTCTCCTTAGCCTGCCTTATTTTCCCTCCCCCATAAGGTTTATCTCAACTTGACTTTAAAAAAAATTTATTTATCACATCCTCATGTCAGTTCCTAAAGGGGAGTGATTCTTTTTTGGTTCATGGCATATTTCCAGCACCTAGAAGAGTACTGCTCAACAAATATTTGTTAAATGAATAAATGGATTCCTACGGAGTCGGGACCTTAGCTTACCTAAAAGTATGGTCCACAGAAAAAAAAATCCACCAGCATGCATAAACAAAATGGCTCTTTGGTTAAGAAGGAATTAAACCTTGATTTCTGGTTTTGCATGCATTCATTTCTTAGTATAACATGGCTATAAAGAGTTTTGCAGTCAGATACTTGCTCTGCAAGTTACTTTACAAGCTCTGAATCTCAGAGCTTCCACTTTTGCCTTCCCTCTATAAAATGGGTATTATAATAATAGAATCTTGGGAGTATTAAATGAGAACATGTACATAAAGAACTTAGGACACAGTGGACTCAATAAATTTTTGTCTCTTGCCATCTTCTCCATGATGGCGTCTGTAACAAAGACAGTTATTCAGTTTGTAAGTGATTATGCACCTGCCCCGAACTCACATAACATTGGCCACTATGTTGTTACAGAGCTGGACATCACGAGCCTATAGGCAGTGACATTTTCTATTTCTCTTACTTCTGTAACCCTAGTGCCTAGCACTGTGCCTGACACAAGCTCAATAAATATTTGGTGAATAAGTAAATCTTTGAAATATTAAACTGACATCACAACAGGAAAATAGACCAAAAAGAGGAAGACATAGGACCCAGGAAACAGGAATTCCAACCCAAGAGAGAAGCAAAGGAATTAGTAGGCAGCAGTATAGCAGTCCTAGAGTTCAGCCAATCCAGAATGGAACAAGCAAGAGGCCCCTGGAGGCAGGTTCTAGAGGAGGAAGTAGATAGAATAAGAAATGTGTCTTACAGTAATTGAGATGAGATTGACATCAAAGGGGTAAAGTTTAGGGATTGATGTGCAACAAGTACATAGAAAACTAAGCAAATAAAAAAGACAGTAATTGGCTTCAGGAAAAACAAAGTTGTTCAAAGTTGTTCAGTCATTGATCTATCCAAAAGTATGATTCACTATTTTGGGAGAATGGGAGGCGAAGAAGTGTGTATGTGGGTAATGCGAGTGATGGGAGGTATGACAGAGTTACGTCTTTCATAGTAAAAATCAAGGGATGAAATCTAAACCTGAAAAACAAAGAAGAAGCATTATATACATATTATTTAGAGATGGGAAGTTAACTGCTCAAATAATTAGTTAAAAGAGTACAAATTGGAGGGGCTTCCCTGGTGGCGCAGTGGTTGAGAGTCCGCCTGCCAATGCAGGGGACGTGGGTTCGTGCCCCGGTCCGGGAGGATCCTACATGTGGCGGAGTGGCTGGGCCCGTGAGCCATGGCCGCTGAGCCTGTGCGTCCGGAGCCTGTGCTCCGCAACAGGAGAGGCCACGGCAGTGAGAGGCCCGCGTACCGCAAAAAAAAAAAAAAAGAGTACAAATTGGATTCTTCCAGGAATTGGAAAATGAGGCAGGAGGGATGGAGTACAAGCAGCCCACTGCTACTTTCTTAACAAACAGTGCGTGTGTCATGGGCTGAACTGGGTCTCTGCCCCAAAGTTACATTGAAGTCCTAACACCAAGTACCTCAGAATGTGACCATATTTGGGGATTTAATTAAGTTAAAATGGGGTCATTAGAGTGGACCCTAATCCAATATGACTGGTGTCCTTATAAAAAGATATTAGGACACAGACAACACAGAAGGATGAGCATGTGAGGACACAGAGGGAAGATGGCCATCTGAAAGACAAGGACGGAGGCATCGGAAGGAAACAAACCTTGACCTTTGACATCTAGCCTCCAGAACTGTAAGATAATACATTTTTGTTGTTTAAGCTACCTGGTCTGTGATATTTTGCTAGGACAGCCCTAGCAAACTAATACAACATGTACAATGTTTAAAAAATTAAAAGTATCATTTTGTATTACAAGAATAATATTTTAAGAAATTAGCAAAAAAAAAAAAAAAGAAAGGTTATTCTGAGACTCATTCGTCAATGACCTCTAAAAGTAACTAGTATAGTATGAGAACATTTATTTACTGATTTTTTTTTCCCTTGAGAAATTCCCTTTGACATATTGACTGATTCTACAATACATACAAATTTTTGTGGCTATTCAGCAAACCTTAATGAGAGGTTTAGAGATGAGAAATAATTTGCCCAAAGAGGCACAACAAGTTAGTACATTGCCAGATCTGTTTCTTTTCTGCCTCCTATATCTGTGTGTCAGTGTTGATCTGTGACTCCCTGGTTCAGTCCAGGTCTAGTCTGGAAAATACAGTCTACATCAAACAAAAAGATTCCTAAGCCCAAGCAGGTAGTTCACTCATTTGAAATAACACATGCCCTTCATCCACATTCCCGCATAATCACAGAAGTGGGACTAGGCCAAGTAAGTAACTCTATGAAAACTATCCTGTATTTCCTCCCTCAGCTCTTTGTTTAGTTGGGCTCAGCTCTATTTTGTGATGTCTACTGCCATCTAGTGGAAATGAATTGACATTTTAAACTAGTGCCTCATTTTTAGGGTACTTTAGTTTTCGAAGAGCTCTCATTTTATCTTCACAATAACCTATGAAGTAGACATTGTTATTCCATTTTGCTTTAACTTTTTAGAAACACTTAATATTATTGAGCTTATTGTGCTTCAGACACTATACATGAATGATCTTATTTATTCCCCGTATCAATTTTTTTTAATTTATTTATTTTATGTTGCATTGGGTCTTCGTTGCTGTGCGCAGGCTTTCTTTAGTTGCAGCGAGCGGGGGCTACTCTTCGTTGTGGTGTGCGGGCTTCTCGTTGCAGTGGCTTCTCTTGTTGCGGAGCACAGGCTCTAGGTGTGCGAGCTTCAGTAGTTGTGGCTCACAGGCTCTAGAGCACAGGCTCAGTAGTTGTGGCTCACAGGCTTAGTTGCTCCACCGCATGTGGGATCTTCCCGGACCAGGGC